AAGAGTAAGAGGGGGAGAGAAAAGGAGGGAGGGAGAGAGAAAGAGAGAGAGAAAGACAGAGAGGAAGAAAGAGAGGGAGGGAGAAAGAAAGAGAGAGAGGGCAGAGAGAGGGAGATGGATTTGCAGGGGGGGAAAGGGGGAGCATGATCCTCCCCCCCCCCCCCCGGCCCCGAGGTCCACCCCATTGTTCCCTCTGGTGCGATAAGAACAATCTTTGCTCTGAGTCTCTTTAAACCATCCTTGCAAAGCTTTGGCTGGCACAGGGAATGCAGGATGACAGCGTTGGAAGGGACCCCGGAGGTCTTCTAGTCCAACTCCCAGAATTCCCCAGCCCACCCTGTCTTTTTCTCTGCCTTGAGAAATGGTGTGGGGTTGCAGCAGGGGGGATTATAAGGGAATAAGCAGGTATGCAGTGGGGGGATGCCTATCCAAACGCCGTGGGGTGTCATCTCCGGGGACGGTTGTGAGCTGAGGTCCCCATTCCTTAAAGTGGCATCGAATGCGTACAGCAGGGTCTGAAGCCCCTCCTGCCTGGCTGTAGGGCCAAGCTTGACTGGCGTTGTGGCAGCCATGGACTCTTCTTCTCACGGCCTCTTCTGGCGTTCCGTCCACAGTTCACGGCATCAAATGGACGTGCAGCAACGGGAACAGCAGCTCCGGCTTTTCCGTGGAGCAGTTGGTGCAACAGATCCTGGACAGCCACCAAACGAAGCCGCAACCTCGGACGCACAACTGCCTCTGCACCAGCAACCTCGGTGAGCAGCAGGAAGCTGCCCTGGGACAGTTGGAGACCCCTCGAGAACCAAGGAGGCCATTCACTAAATTGCAGGCGGTCCTCGTTCGGCAACCGTTCTTTGAGTGACTTGGGATCGGTTGTCACACTTATGACCGTCGCAGCATCCCCCCTGGTTGCGTGGTCAAAAATTCAGTCCCTGACAACTGACTCCTATTTACAATGGTTACAGTGTCTCTGGGTCAAATTTCTGTTGCCAAGTGAGACATTTGTGAAGTGAGTTCTGCCCCGTTGTCTTGGCCACCGTTGTTAAGTGAATCCCTGCAGATATTAAGTTAGTCACACGGTTGTTATGCGGTTCTGGCTTCCTCCCTTGACTTCGCTGGTCAAAAGGGACCATCATAAATATGAGTGTGATGACTCAAAGGGGCGTGGGACAAAAGGCAACACAGTCACATAAGCAAGAAATGTCCTTTTAGTACCTCCAATTTTGCCCTCAATGTCCAGTTACCTTTGGCTGGAGAAAAACGCTCCCAGGAACAGCCTTTGACCGTAGAAAATTCAGTCCAAAACAAGGTACATACAAACTGTAACTAACAATCCACACAAACCACACTGCGGCAATTAACTGGACAGGGCAGGAGAAGGAATTGCAGACTTCAAAGGCCAGCAAAACACACACAGTTGGGAAGACGCCAAGAACCCAGATAAGCCTCGACGATACCAGATAACTCATGATTTGCTCCCAACAGTTTGCTGTGCGCAGCTTCCCTTTTTAAACACCGTGTTCCCAGATGCAGCTAATGAAGGGAATCAGGGCCCTTTCCTCCCTCGTAAGTCCTGCAACCCACGTTGCTCCCTTCTCCATTCCTCCCTGCGTGCCCTAGGACGAAAAGGGGGTGGCCCTGGGTTTTCCTCTGAACTCCCTCTCCCTTGTTCTACCTCTTCCCTGCTCTGCCCAGACGGACTGTGCCCTTCCCCAGTTTCCTCCACACCCAACGGAGCCACCCCCCCACCCCCTGTCAGCTGCTCGGCCTCCCCCTCCAAATCAGATTCCAACAGGGGCACGACAATGAGCCAGTTGTATATTGTACTGTGGTTGTAAATGTGAAAAGGGGTTCTAAGTCACTTTTTTCCATGCGGCTATAATGGCCACCAACGGTTGTAAGTCGAGGAGTATCTTAATGGACCCTGTTGGGCTGCGATGGTTCACATCTCCCTTTTGTTGTTCCTCTTGGTGCAGGGGCCGGGAGCAGCGTGCATCACAAGTGCAACAGTGCCAAACACCGCATCATCTCCCCCAAGGTCGAGCCCCGGTCGGGGGGCTACAGCGCCCACTCGGAGGTGCAGAACAATGACGTCTCGGAGGGCAAGAACGAACACAGCCACAGCAAGTCCTGCAACCGGGAGAAAAGGAACGGCAAAGTGGCCAAACCCGTCCTGCTGCATCAGAACAGCACCGAAGTCTCCTCTACTAACCAAGTGGAAGTTCCGGACACGACCCAAAATTCTCCCGTCTCCATCAGCAGCGGATTAAATAGCGACCCAGATGTAGCAGACAGTCCGGCAGTCACGGGCGTCTCCAGCATGGCGGTGGCTTCGGTGATGGGGAACCTGTCTCAAAACGCCACCGTTTTCATGTCTGATATCAGCAGCGAGGCCGTCTACACAATGTCCCCCACCGCCGGGCCAAACCCACACCTTCTCTCCTCGGACGCGACGACCCAAGGGCTGGTGCTGGCGGTCAGTTCCGACGGCCACAAGTTCGCCTTCCCTACCGCCAGCAGCTCGGACGGCCTCTCCATGTTGCCCGCCAGCGTCTCCGAAGAACTTGTGCTGTCCACCACTCTTGACACCAACAGGAAGGTCCCGGAAACCACCATGAATTTTGACCCAGACTGCTTCCTCAACAACCCCAAGCAAGGGCAGACTTACGGGGGAGGCGGGCCCAAAGGAGAAGGCCTCAACGCCAACATCCGACAGTCGCCCACCTCGGACCGAGGGTTCAACTTCAACGCGGCCCTCACCAAGGAGATCAAGACGGAAGACACCTCCTTCGAGCAGCAGATGTCCAAAGAAGCCTTCTCGTCTTCTTCCTCGTCCAACTCGCTGACCTTGAACACGGCGTCCAGCCTCCTTCCCTCCGGCGGAGGGCTCAGCCCCAGCACCACCCTGGAGCAGATGGATTTCAGCGCCATCGACTCCAACAAGGACTACACGTCGGGGTTTAACCAAGCGGTGCAGAGCCCCCACGTCCACCAAACCCCTTCGCCGAGCTTCTTCCTGCAAGACAGCAGCAAAGGGCTCCCCCTCGAGCAAAACGCCCACAGCAGCCTGAACGACGCGAGCAGCTCTTTCGTCGCCCCGCTGGCCCTGCCCAACGTCAAGACGGAGGCCTCCTCCCAGAACCCCTCCAACTGCAACGGCACAGTGGAGGCCCGGATCGAGGCCACCTCTTCGCTGCAGCTCATGCAGTTCCAGGCCAGCTTCCCGTCCATCGCGGCCGAAGGGGAGGTCCCCATGGAGACCTCGACGCACGCGGAAGGGAACGAGAACCTGCTCAAAACCGGGGAGCTCCAGTCCTGCAGGGCGGAGCACTACATGCAGCCCGAGGCCAACAACAGCTTGAGGAACGGAGGGAGCCTCCCCATCCTCCAGGGGAGCATGGTGCAGGGCCTCTACCCCGTGGCCCACCCGGCCTTGAACAACGCGTCCAACATGGAGCTCAGCTTGGATCACTTCGACATCTCCTTCAGCAACCAGTTCTCGGATCTGATCAACGATTTCATTTCGGTGGAAGGCGGGAACAACGCCCTGTACGGCCACCAGCTGGTCTCCGGGGAGAACGCCGGGCTGTCCCAGGCGGAGGAGACCACCCGCGCCGCCTACAGCCAAGCGGAGATGTGCATCCCCTGCTGCAGCCCCCAGCAGGCCAACTTGAGCCTCAGCAACCCAGAGAACGGCGCCAGCCCAATGGCCTACATGCACGTCACCGAGGTGGTTTCGGCAGCGGCCGCCGCGGCCCAAGGCACCCTGGGCATGCTCCAGCAGAGCGGCCGACTCTTCATGGTGACCGATTACTCTCCCGAGTGGTCGTACCCGGAGGTGAGCTCGAGCGTCGCTTTGGCACGAACCCCCGGATGGGACCGGGGCAGGGAGAGCCGTGGGTAGGGTTGTGGGCAGAGGTGGGTATTCAGCAGGTTCTGACCGGTTCTGGAGAACCGGGAGTGGAAATTTTGAGTTGTTCGGAGAACCGGCCAATCCCACCTCTGACTGGAGATTTGGCTGGGAGTTGAAGCCCACCAGTCTTAAAAGTTGCCAAGTTTGGGGGAGTCCGTGAATTGTCCCTGCAGGGCAGGACGTGGAGAGGGTCTCGCCGGCCGCTGACCCGCCTCTCTCTCTCTCTCTCTGTCTCCCTCCCTCCGCAGGGCGGCGTGAAGGTCCTCATCACCGGATCCTGGCAGGAAGCCAGCAATAACTACAGCTGCCTTTTTGACCAGATCTCCGTGCCGGCCTCGCTGATCCAGCCAGGGGTGCTACGCTGCTACTGCCCAGGTGAGGCTCTCCAACAAGCCAGGGGCTGCGAGGCGAAGACACGAAGACGTGGTGGGGGGCAGGGGGGGTGTCCCTTGCGCACAATTCACTGTGGCTGAAATGTCCTTGTGCCTCGGACATCCCAGTTTGGGTCATTATATTAGCAGCCTTCCCATATTTGAGGGAGGGGCTGCCCCAGAGAGGAGAAAGGGGGTCGAGCTATTCTCCGAGGCACCCGAAGGCCAGAGGAGGAATAATGGGTGGAAACTGAACCAGGAGAGATTCAACCTTGGAAATAAGGAGAAACTTTCTGACAGGGAGAACCGTCCACCCATGGAACAGAAGTTGTGGGAGCGTCATCATCCTTGGAGGCTGGACTGCCACCTGTCAGAAACGGTGTAGGGACTCCTGCTTGGGCGGGGGGTTGGACTAGATGACCTGCAAGGTCCCTTCCAACTCTGTTAGTCTAGTCTAATATATAAAAAAAAAAAATGATGGAAAAAGTACAGAGAAAAGCAACCAGGAAGATTAGGGGACTGGAGGATAAAACATTCGAAGAACGGTTCCAGGAACTGGGGAGGTCTGGTTTAATGAAGAGAAGGACCAGGGGAGACGTGAGAGCATCTTCCCATATTTGGGGGGCTGCCACAGAGAAGAAGAGGGGGGTCAACCTATCCTCCAAAGCCCCAGAAGACAAGGATGAATTTCCTAGACAGCGAAAACAATTCATCCTGATTTGCTTCTAGAAGTTGTGGGTCCAACTCGCTTCCCTTTTTGTCGTTTCAGCCCACGACACCGGCCTCGTCACGCTGCAGGTGGCTTTCAACAACCAGATCATTTCCAATTCGGTGGTTTTCGAATATAAGGCCCGGGCATTACCAACCCTTCCTTCTTCTCAACACGACTGGCTCTCGCTGGATGGTGAGGAGCGAGGATTTGGGCAGGGCCTAAGGAATGGGGGCGGGGCTTAGGAAGTGGGTACCACGCTGGCATTCGGCACCCAGAGCTGCCTAAATCAAAATTTTTCTCAACTTTAAAGATGGGTGGGGAGTTTTAAGATGGGTGGACAACTTTAAGACAGATAACTTTAAGATGGAGAACTTTAAGATGGTGGATAATTTTAAGATAGGTGGACAACTTTCAGAGGGGGAACTTTAAGAGGGAGAACTTTAAGATGGGTGGACAACTTTAAGAATGCTGAAAGTTTAAGATGGTTTAAGTTTAAGACGTTTAAGACGGCACATCTAGCTGGGGAATTCTGGGAGTTGAAGCACTCCTTTTAAATCTGTGGAACTGGCTTGCTTCTAGAAGTTGTGGGTGCTTTTGTCACTGGAGGTTTTTAAGGAGGGATCGGACAGCGCTTTGACTCGGATAGTATAGGGTCTTCTGCCTTCAGCAGAGGGGTTGGACTAGAAGACCTCCGAGGTCCCTTCCAAGCCCTAGGATTGTACGCTGAAGTGGTGGAAGTGAAGAGGAAGCGGGAGGAATTGCCGCAGGGGAGAAATGTGTGGTTTCGCTTGTCTAGATGTCCTCTTGGTTTAGACAAAGGAGCCTGACAAGTGTGATGCAGCAACAAAAAAAAGGCCAGGATGATTTGATTCTACGCTAGGCAATCGGTGACGCAACCAGAAGTGTGTGATGGAAGAATTATTGTACAGGCAGTCCTTGACTTACAGTTCATTCGTTTAGTGACTGTTTGAAGTTGCAACAGCACTGGGGCAGCGGGGGGGGGGGGGGTGACGTTACTGGTTCCCACGGACTTTGGCAACTTCGGCAAAAAGGGGCGAACTGTGTCTTGCTTAGCAGCGGAAACGCTGGGCTCGGTTGCGGTCGGAAGGCGAAGATTAGCTGTAGTTAGGACTTCTCCTCCCTTTGGAGTCTCACAGCAGCCCTGCAAGGTAGGCCAGGCAGAGATTGGAAGGGGGGCCTGGGATGCAGGGGCTCTGGGCCTTCCCTAGGCGGGGGGGCGGGGGTGGACTGGCCACTTAGGGTTACCCGGGAGGGGGGAGGGAGGAGACGGGGCAGCAGGGCTCAGCCTGACGAAAGAGAAAGGAAAAGAGAAGAGGGAGAGAGGAGGAGGAGGAGGAGGAGGGGAAAAGGAGGAAGCGAGGAAAAAGAAGAGCAGGAAGAGGAGGAGGAGGAGGAGGAGGAGGAGAGGAAAGGGGAAGGCAGAGGAGAAGAAGAGGAGTAAAAAGGAGGAGAGGGAGAGGAGAAAAAGAGGCAAGGAAGAGAAGAAGAGGAGGAGAAAAAAGAGAGGATGAGGAGAGAGAGAAGGGGGGGAAGAAGGAAGAGAAGAAGAGGAAGCGAAAAAAGAGGAGGGAGGGAGAAGAGGCAGCAGAGAAGGAGAAAAAGGAGGAGAGGGAGAGGAGGAAGAGAGGGAGGAGGAGAGAAAAAAGGGAGAGGGGGGAGAAGAGAAGGAGAAAAAGGAAGAAGAGAAGAAGAGAAAAACGGAGGCAGAAGAGGAGGAGGACAAAGAAGAGGGAAGAGGAGGAGCAGGAGGGACGTCGCAGCGCAGCGGCCACCGAAACCGGCCGGGCGACGCGGAGAAGCGCCGTTCGGGTCCCGGCCCGCCTCTCCCGGCCGCTTCGCCTTCGCTCCTCTCGCTTCTTCTGGGCGGGGGCGGCGGCCTCCCCTCCGTCGGAGCGCCTCCATCCCCGGCTGCATTGCGGAGGAGCCTCGGCCGGGCCGGCCGTTGCGGCGGGGCTCCTCCGTCTCCCCTCCGGCCGAGCTCCGCCGGCCCCAGCGGGCTCCACCGCCGGCCGCTCCCCCTGTGCTCCGGAGCGGGCATCTGATGTCACTTTCCCCGCCGCGGATTGGCCGTCTCCGCGCCCAGGCGGGGCTGCCGGCGCTGCGGCTGCGGCTGCCGGCTCGGCGCTGCCGCCCATCGCGGAGCTGCGCTGCCTGCCTCGCCCGCCCGCCCGCCCGGGCTGCCGGGGGGGGGGGGGGAAGGGGGGGGGGGGGGGGGGCGCCCGTGGGCGAAGAGAAGGGCATGGCCCCCTCGCCTCTGCTGAGCCCGGCCCCACGGTAAGCTCCCCGCGGGCGTGGGGAAGGGGAAAGGCCCCCCGGGGGAGGGGGAAAGGGGGGGGAACGACACACACACACACATCAACACTCCAGCTTGGGAAGCTGCAAATGTCATGGATTTGTCCCACTGATGGGGTCTGGGGTCTCCTGCTTTGAGCAGGGGGTTGGACTAGAGGACCTCCAAGGCCCCTTCCAGCTCTCTTCTGGTTGATTCATTGGTTGAAATGGCCTAGGGTCTCCTGCTTGAGCAGGGGGTTGGACTAGATGACCTACAGGGTCTCTTCCAGCTCTGTTCGGATTGACTGGCTGATCCTGAGCCGTGGACACGGGTGGGAGTGGGCTGTGGGGTCGTGGCCCCTCTCTGGCAGTTGGGTGGCCTCCGTAGCTGCTGGTCCGGATTTTGAGGACCCTCCCTCAGCTCCTGTTTATAGTTGGGCAATAGGAGGGGGTTCAGCAGAGAGGTTTCGGGGTGGGAGGGGGGGAAAAAGGGCCCCCCCTTTTTCCCCCCCCCCCCCCCACATCTGAGGGCGAGGCATCCCTCAGGTGGGGTTCTGGGGTGTCTCTCATACCTCCCACCCGTGGGAATATCTGACCGTGGGAATATCCAAAGCACCTGCAAAGGAGAGCAACCAGGGAAGGGAGGGCTCTTCCAACAGCCCCCTCCCCCTCCCGCTGCAGACCCGTCTGGCACTTGGGGGGGGGCTGTGAGGCGCACAACCCACCCCCTCCCCAAATAGAGGCGGAGTTGCGCCGGAAGCTTTGAAAGAAGACGAGGGAAATGAGCTTCCCCTCTCCTCCCCGGTCCGATGTTATTTTAGGGGAGGGTCTCACACACACAACAGACCCCGTTAAAACCCCCAAGGCCTGAAAAAGAACTCGGAGTTTTCAATGTGCAAATTTATAGTTTGTAGTTCACCCAGAGTAGAGGGAGGAGGGACATACAAAGGTAATAAACGAGCAGATAAATAAACAAATAAATTAAGTATATTTAGCGTCTGAAAAGGGGACATTAAGACCAGGAAGTAAAAAGGAGAGACCCTGGAACCAGTTGATTATTAGTATAGTCCTCAAATTACAGCCACAACTGAGTGCCAAATTTCCGTCGCTAAGCAAGGCAGTTGTTAAACTTGAGTTTTGCCCCCATTTTATGGCAGTTCTTAAGCGAATATGGGGTCATTAAGTGAATCATGCTTACCTGTTGACTTTGCTCGTCCAAAGGTCTCAAAAGAGGATCGCGTGGCCCTGGAACGCTGCGAAGCGTGAAAACCGAAGTTTTTGTAACTTCGGTCACTAAACGAACAGTTGTACCTCGAGGATTACCCGTACAGGGCAAGGCACTAGAACAGATTGTGAAGGAAGCGTGTCAGTGAATATTAAGGAAAAACATGCTACGGTGTTTTAAGAGTTGCTACAAATAATAATAGACATATAATATTAGACTGGTTTTACCAGATTAGTAGACGGAGGGAACGCTGAAGATGTAGTTTATCTTTAAAACAGGAAAATTACACTCGTCCTTATGGACCAGATGAAAAAATCTGGATTCGAGTGGTATTGCAATCTACTAAATTTGAAACTATCTGTTGTGCTGGCAGCAGGTGCGGAGGGCTGAGGTCTCAGAGAGCGAGGACTCAGGTGAGGGGCCTCAGGTGATGGGGCCAGGACCATCAGGGAGTGGAGTGCTGCCTTTGGAGATTGTGGAGGCTGGCAGCAGTGAGGAAGAGGCCCCCGAGGAGCCTGTGCCCAGTGTGGCTGCTCGAAGGAAAGAGCAGCTGCAGCAGCACGGGCGACTCAGGAGTAAGGCTGCATGGTGATGGCCCCTCCCTTGAGGGATAAAAGCCAGCTGAGAAACCGGAGTTCTTTGCAGGAAGCAAAGAAGATTTTGCACTCAAGCCTTGTGGACGTTAGAATGTCTGAGCTGGTGTTTGGAGACTCTTTGATTTATTGTTTAGGAACTTTATCTGTTGTTCTTGGCAGCCTTGGAAAAACTTGGCCAGGCTCTTTCTTGTTGGAGCTAATTAGTGGGAAGCAGCCTTTTATCTGAAGAAACGGGATTAGTAAATGAAACAGTAAAAGGTTGTGCTGGTGCCTTTTGTCTTGTGTTTACTCTCGTGGAACCAGGTTTGGGTCAGAACACTATTTGCACAACCACAGCAATGTGGTGGTACCTTGAGGACTGCTTGTTCGTTTTTTGCAGTGGGTACAAATGACCTGACCATCCTTTCCACATCCTGTCCCAAGGTGTGGGTTTGCGCCCTCCCCCCCCCCAAATGCATCTCTTCCCTGACCATCTCTTTCCCCTCTGGGGGTCGCAGATAACCAGTTCAGGATGTCTATTCTGGAACGACTTGAACAGATGGAGAGAAGGATGGCGGAGATGACCACACTGCAGCAGCACAAGCCAAGTGGGGGCAACAGCAGCGCCAACGGAGGTAGCCAAGCCCAGGTAAGGGCCAAAGTTTTGCACGTCTCCTCTCAGCCCAGTGGCTGAAGGAAAAGCTATCTAGAGGCAAGCAAATTTAATAAATAGTAAGGCCAAAAGGTCAGTTGTTCCACAGTAGAACAACACGCCCATTTTCCGACATGTTTTAAACATTTCCCGCTCTGAAAGAAGACCGAGAGGAAGGGATTCATTGTTGGCATGTATTTTTATGTAACAACTACAGTAGTATTCAACCACTACATGGCAGTGTTTACAAATTTGGATCTATGTACTTTTAGTTCCCTATTTCTTGTTACAGTTAAGCAGTTAAGCAGTAAAGCACATGGTGACTGTGCTCCTTATTTGATCTGTGGTGCTATATATAAACAGAATTTCTAACAGGAAAATACACCAGCATGAAGCCCACACAAGGGGCGGGGATCTTATCCAGATGCCACCACCATCAGCATAACATACTTATCCTTCTTCCTGGACCCTTCCCCGCCCACCCACCCACGCCTTTCACACGTGCATGCCTCTTCCTGCTTGCCTTCCTCATCTCGGCCTCTCCCTTACAGTGCATCTCGGAGGCCGCCACCTTGGGCACCTGCTTCGAGAGCCGCGTTGTGGTGGTGTGCGAAAAGATGATGAGCCGAGCTTGCTGGGCCAAATCCAAACACCTGATCCACTCCAAGACGTTCCGGGGGATGACCCTTTTGCACCTGGCGGCTGCCCAGGGCTACGCTACCCTCATCCAGACACTCCTCAAATGGCGGTAAGAGTTTGGGGGAGGTGGAGACTGTGGTGTTTTGGGTCTGCCCACACCAAGGAGAGCGGTTGTGTTGTGTGTCTATAGGCGTCCTTCTCCCTGTGTTGTCATCCCAACAAGGTGTGACTTTGCACTTGGTGGACAAGCCAGTGTTGTCCCCAAAAACTGGTTCCGCCAGTGTGCAACGCCCAATAAAATCACACAATGAGGAGGAGATTTACAACTGCTGTACAACCATTCGTTTATCCCTCGGTTAATGCAACCAAGGACGGCACGGCCCTTTTCGGCAGCTGCCAAAACCACACTGCAGGCTGATATTGAAACGAAGATGCGTTTTAGGAATGAGCAACTGGTTGGGAAATGTCTACAAATAATCATTTCCCGCAGAGACTACGTTTCTAGGGGTCTTTGGGTCCTTCACCAATACCCATCCTAATTTCAAGTGTCTCCTTTCTCGTGGGCATCTTCCTGCTGTGTGGTGCCCTTTCCCGTTAGAACGTGTGTGGGGGGGAGAAAGGGAGAGAAAGGGAGGGAGGGAAAGAGGGAGAGGAGGGGGAGAGAGGGGGGATGGAGAAAGGGAGAGAGAATAGAGAAACAGGAGGAGAGGGGGAAAGAGAGGAGGAGGGAGAGAGGAGATGGAGAAAGGGAGAGAGAAGAGAGGGAGGGGGAGGGAGAAAGGCAGAAGTGGGAGAGGGGGAGAGAGGGAGAAAGGGAGGGGGAAAGAGAGGAAGAGGAAGGAGAGAGGAGATGGAGAAAGGGAGAGGAAGAGCGGGAGAGAAAGAAGGGAGAGTGGGAGAAAGGGAGAGAAGAGAGAGCGGGGAGAGAGGGGAACAGGAGAAGAGAGAGAGAAAGAGAGAACACCACAGCCTCCAGGCTCCAAAAGAAACCGGATCGCCGCCTTCTGGGACCTTCTTCCAGGATCCTTTTGCCATCTTCTTTCTCCTCCTTGGTTCCATAGCACCAAACATGCCGACAGCATCGATCTGGAGCTGGAGGTCGATCCGCTGAATGTGGACCACTTCTCCTGCACGCCACTGGTACGGAGAGCGGTTTTCCTTGCGTGGTCCAAGAGACGCTTGAATTTGGGAAACGGGGAGGGGGGGATTCCTTGTAACGAGAGGGGGGAGGAGCCTAACCGGGTCTGCCGACATAGGCTACTGCAGCAGGAAATCTCCTCCGTTTTCCCCAATGACCCTGAAATCGTTTCCCTTCCAGATGTGGGCCTGCGCTCTGGGCCACACGGACGCCGCCGTGGTCCTTTACAAGTGGGACCGGCGGGCCATCTCCATCCCTGACTCGCTCGGCAGGCTGCCGCTGACCATCGCCCGCTCCCGCGGCCACGTGAAGCTGGCCGAATGCCTTGAGCAGCTGCAGCGGGAGGAGCAGGCGCAGCTCCGGCCGTCCCCTCGCCTCCCCTGCCCTCCGCAGGAAGAGCCCAGCGGTGACAACTGGACGTCCCAGTGGCCCAGCAAACTCACCGCCTCTCAGGACCAGCAAAAGGGAATCTCAGTGGTTTCCAATGCGAACACGGGTAGGTGGGCAAAGGCCATCTTTGGTCCACCTTCTCAAGCATCCATGCTGGCGCTGATGATGTTACCTAGTTTGGTAATGTAATGTCTACCAAAAAAAAAAAAAAAACTAGCAAGGTCAGAGTTTACATTGTGGTGACCAAAACTGGATGCAGTACTCTCGGTGTGGCCTTACTAAGGCTTTATAGAGTGGCATTAGTACCTCCCTCGATCTGGATTGTATCCCTCTGTTAATGCAATTTAAGGATTACATTAGCTTTTTTGGCTGCTGCTGCACACGGCTGGCTCCTATTTAGCTGGTTGTCCACTGAGACTCCAAGGTCCCTCTCCCAGTTCCTGCTATTGAGTCCTGGTTTCACCCAGTCTGTATGTATATTTTGGTTTTTCTTGCCTAAGTGTAAGACTTGACTTTTCTCCACGTTGAATTTCATTTTGTTAAATATGGCCCAGTGTTCAAGTCTGTCAAGATCCATCTGGCAGACCTGGTTAGCCCTTTATATCTATATCTATATCTATATCTATCTATTTATACATAATATATCTATATCTTTCTATATCTCTATATCTTTGTCTCTATCTATATAATGTATCTATATCTATCTGTATATATCTATATCTTTCTATATCTATAATGTTTTTATGTATCTATCTATCTATCTATCTATCTATTTCTATATCTATCTGTATCCATATCTATACTATATCTATATATCTTTACCTATTTATCTATCTATGTCTATATAATATGTCTATATCTATCTATCTATCTATCTATCTATCTATCTATCTATCTATCTATCTATCTATCTATCTATCTATCTATCCATCCATCCATCCATCCATCCATCCATCCATCCATCCATCCATCTATCTATCTATTTATCTATCTTAGATACCTCCAAAGACCTGGTTGTTTCCTGATTCGTCCTTCCTTTCCTTTCAGAATTGCGACGGCCTCGGTCCGAACCCTCCAGTTACTACAGCAGTGAGAGCCAGAAGGATTACCCAGCGCCCAAAAAACACAAACTGAACCCCGACTATTTCTCCACGAGGCAGGAGAAGCTTCTGTCCACAGCCTTGAGCCTGGAGCAGCCCAGCAGCCGGAAACCGATCCCCGGCGCGAAGCCTGCTGCTCTCCTTGAGACAATCAACCCCCAGCACGGCGGCACGGAGTACGCCCGGGATCTGGTCCCCGAGCTGGCCAGCTACCGCAGCTCCAAATGGAGGCCGAAGGAGACCTACCTGGGCGTATCGGCCGCGCAGGTGACCGGCAGCCCGAAAGGGTTGGCGCCGTTGGGGAAAGACTCTGGCGCTCAACGGTTGCATCCGCGGGAACCGATGAATGTGGTGATGATGGCGGACAGGGAAGCGGCCGAAGCGGAATTGCTTTCTTTCCGGGATAGCGCCGAGGGCGAAAACTGCTTGCACCACATGGATGATTTGCAGGTAAGTGGATAACCGGCAACTCACCTGTGGGAATTTAATGGGGAACTCCTTCCCCAATGGATCAGTTGGCTGGCTACGCAACGGCTGTTACAGAGTCGTAAGTGGTCGTAAGTGTGAAAAACAGTCATAAGTCCCTTTTTTCAGCGCCCTTGCAAATTCAGATGGTCACTAAACAAATCGTTGTAAGTCGGGGACTGCCTGTAGAGATATAGAAAAGGGTTCAGTCCACAAAAGTATAGACTTAAGTCTGTTGGAGGTACCGAGTGGGAAAATTGGACCCTCGTTTGTCCAGAAGGGTATAAGGACTCCGGCCTTGGGCAGGGGAGGTTGGACTGGTTGACCTCTGAGATTCCCTCCAGCCTCCCGATTCTAAGCTGGGCTAGTAGAGTGGGCTTCCTGCCGCCCGAGGGGCTTGGGCTGAGTAGGATCTCCTTCTCCTCCCCCCCCCCCCAAAAGGTCACCATGATGACCCTGGCCGAGCACATCATCGAAGCCACCCCGGAGAGGATCAAGCAGGAGAATTTCATGCCGGCCGAAGAGGCGTCTCAGGTGGAGAGGACAGAAAGCGCGGCCATTAGCACCTCCATGAGCTGGCTGGCCAGTTACCTGGCCGACGTGGACCGCGTGCCCAGCGCTGCTCAGATAAGGTTCGTGGGGAAGGGGGAAAAGAGGGGAAGGGAGGAGGAGGAGAAAGGAGAGGGGGAAGAAAGAAGGGGGAGAGGGAGGAAGAGGAGGAGGAGAAGTAGAGGGAGGAGAAGAAAGGAGGACAAGGACAAACAAGGGGGAGGAGAGGAGCAGAGGAAAGAGGAGGAGGAGAAAGGAGGAGAGAAAGAGGGGAGGAGAAGGAAAAAGGGGAGGGGAGGGGAGGGGGAGAGGGAGGAGGAGGAGGAGGGCCGTGGGGTCCTGGTGCTCCCCGAGGTTTTCCTGCAGTCGTTTCATGACCCAACTAGGGAACGCCTTCAGGGCTCGCCCGATGTCTCCTGAGGATTCCCACTCCCCCCCCCCCCCCCCCCCCCCCCCCCCCCCCCGTTTTTCCCGGGCCGGGCAGCCCCTCCTGATGCTCCGGCCCTCCCCTCCGTTGCAGAAGCCTCTACGGTGGGTGCCCGACCCCCTCGCCCCACACCAGCCGCAGCCCCTCCGGCTCGCCAGTCAATGCGATGGCTTTTGAGAAGCCCAGCCTCCCCTCGGCGACAGACTGGTCCGAGTTCCTAAGCGCCTCCGCCGGTGACAAGGTGGAAAACGAGTTTGCACAGCTGACCCTCTCCGACCACGAGCAACGGGAGCTCTACGAAGCCGCCAAGCTGGTCCAGACCGCCTTCAGGAAATACAAGGTGGGGGGCGAGAAGCCGCGAGGAAGCGGGGGGGGGGGCGGTGGCGGCAGAGATGCCTGCTCTCGGGTGCCTTGGGAGGAAGGCCAGTCCCTGGCAAAAGGACGGCGGAGCTGTGGTGGCGCAGGGGCTAGAAGGCAGGATGGCAGGCTGACTCTGCCCCACTGCCCGCCGTTCGATCCTGACCTAGGTTGATTCAGCCTTCCGTCCTTCCGAGGTCGGTAAAATGAGGACCCAGATTGTTGAGGGCAAGAGGCTGACCCTGTAAACCACTTAAAGAGGGCTGTGAAGCGGCATATAAATCTAAGGGCTATTATATTCTATATTTTGTTCTGTTCCATTCTATTCTGTTCTATTCTGTTCTGTTCTATATTCTATTCTGTTCTGTATTCTGTTCTGTATTCTGTTCTGTTCTATTTTGATCTGTTCTGTTCTATATCCTGTAATCTGTTCTGTATCCTGTCTGATGCTATCCTACTCTTAATTCTTCATTCCTCCGTGAATTGTTTGAGGAATCCACCTCTCTGGCGGCTTCCCCCCTTCCCTGAGGACTAGCCTCCCGCCATGCCCTCCTTCTCTCCCGCATCCCTTTCTTCCAGAAGGTGATTGTGCTGCTTTATTGTTTCCTCAGGGACGTCCCCTCCGGGAGCAACAGGAAGTGGCCACGGCCGTCATTCAGCGTTGTTACCGGAAATACAAGCAGGTGAGGGCGACCCCGTTGGCCCGTCTCTAGAGACCCGTTGGTCCGCTTGGCACCTCCACCTCACCTCACCCAAACCCTTTCGGCCGCGGTGACCCCCCGAGGGGAGGGGGGGAGCGTTTCTCTGGAAAGGACTCCCCACTCTTCATCCATTTTGGCCACTCAAGGCATCGAGACCACGTAAAGCTCTCAGACTTGGCGTGGAAGGGCTTCAGCTGCCTCCCTGCCTCCTTAAGGAGATGCTTTTGTTCATGTGTCCCAAAGGTGCTTTTTTCCCCCCCAAAAGGCAGATGGATTTTCTTGGGGTTTTTTTTTTTAGTCTTTGAAGAGGTTTCACTTCTCACCCGAGAAGCTTCTTCAGTTCTGAGCGAATAGTGGGGAAACGGAAGGATTGATGCTCCTTGCAGACAAAGCTGCTCATTTTTTTTAAGAGAGTCCTTCAGGTCACTTGAAGGATTATCTTTGTCCCAAAGGTGCTTTTTCAAGAGGCCACTGGACTTCCTTGGTGGTTTTTTCCCTTGAAGAGGTCTCGCTTCTCACCTGAGAAGCTTCTTCAGTTCTGAGCGAATGGTGGGGGAAACGGAAGGATTGATGCTCCTTGAAGACAAAGCTGGTCATTTGCATCCTTCTTTTTAGAGAGCCACTGAGGCCACTTGGAGGTTTTCCTGTGTCCTCGGGGGTCACCTGTGCAGTGCAAACGGGTGTGGAGCAGTTCCAAGAAGACGCCACGCTCCACACCCATTTGCACGACTCCGCTGAAGCCTCCAGCTTCTCTCCCTTCCCGAGAAGCTCAGCGGGAGGCTCGCTTAGTACCACCGATGACGGACGGGGCCGACTTGTTAACGTTAATCTTGTATTTTCTGTTTCTCCCTCCCAAGCTTACTTGGATAGCCTTGAAGGTAATGACGCCATAAATACACAACCCAGTTTGTGAGCTTTGCACACAGGTCTTGGCAAGGGAGAAACGTTGGTTGGTTTGGCTACGACCAGTGGTGGAATTCCAAATGTTTTACTGCCGGTTCTGTGGGGGGCACGCGGAGCGTTCTAGAAACGGGCAATTTTAAGCATGAGAACTTACCGTTGGCGAGGAAAACAGCTGCCTTACCAGCTGAGTTACAAACAAAGGAAATATAAGACAGAAAAGGGCGGGGCGGGTGGGTGGGGCCAACTGCTGACTAGCGCAACCGGATCGCTAGAACCGGTGCGAACCGTCAGCATACCACTGGGTCTCGGTAACCGCTGCTTTGCTACGGATGGCCAGCCTGTCCTATAAAAGGGGGAGGAGGGAATTGTTCAGGCACACACACACACACACACACACACACACACACACACAGCCAAAGAAGACCTCCACGCTGGTTGTGGAATTCTGGGAGTTGAAGTCCACAGGTCGTCAAGTTGCCACGATTGGAAAACTTAAGACTCTAAAATGCCGCTTGATTCTCCCGAAGAGTAGCATGTGTGCCTGTACACAGCCAGGAGATCTGGGCTAGCCAGCCCTTGTTCAACTCGGGGCGAGCGGCTTCAGTTTCTTTCCTCTCTCTTTCCCACCCCCCTCCTGCCAATCCCGCCCCTCCCCGCGCCTTCTCCTGCCCCTTCCCCACGCAGTATGCACTTTATAAAAAGATGATCCAAGCTGCCATCTTGATCCAGAGCAAATTCCGAAGTTACTACGAGCAGAAGAAATTCCAGCAAAGCCGGAGAGCCGCCGTTCTCATCCAGCAATTTTATCGCAGCTACAAAGAATTTGGCAAGAGGAGGCAAAACCGCCGGACCGCAGCTCTCATGCAGCAGAAGCTCAGGTGGGCCTTTTGGGGGGGGAGGTAAGGACGATGGATGGTTTTGAGGACCTGAGTTTAACAAAGAGAAGGGTGACAGGATGGCAGCCTTCCAGTATTTGAAGGGCTGCCCCAAAGAGGTAGCGGGGGTCTACAAAGCACCTGAAGGCAGGACAAGAAGCAACAGATGGAAACTTACGAAAGGGGAGAGAAGAACGAGGAGGAGAAGGTGGGGGAGAGGAGGAGGAGGGAAGGAGAGGAGAAGGAAAAGAATTAGAGAGAAGGAGAGAAGAAGGAGAGAAGAAGGAGAGGAGGAGAAGAGGAGGAGGAGGAGGAGAGGAGAAGGAAAAGGAGAAAGGAGAGGAGGAGGGAAGGAGAGGAGAGAAGGAGAGAAAGAAAAGAATTAGAGAGGAAAAGGAGAGGAGGAGGAGAGAAGGAGAGGAGAAGGAAAAGGAGAGAGGAAAAGGAGAAGAGGAGGAAGATCTGGGGTCCTTGATGCTCCCTGAGCTATTTTCTTGCGGACATTTTATTACCCAACTAGGTAACATCATCAGTGCTAGAAAAGAGTAGGGTTTGCTCTCTGTATGCATAGTTGGGTAATGAAACACCTGCGAGGAACCAGTCAAGCTCAGAGGGCACCAAGGACCCCTCTCCAACTCCGATTCTTGACATGCAGGCAAACCCCACCCCACCCCCCAAAAATGTTCTGGGTTCTAAATCACCCAACATTTTATGTGTCTGTCCCCCCTTTCTCTCCTCTCCAACAGAAGCAGCCTGCTCACCAAGAAGCAGGACCAAGCTGCTCGCAAGATCATGAGGTTCTTACAGCGCTGTCGCCACAGGTGAGGCACGGCTAGATGTCCCTTGGAGAGGGGGTGTGTGTCCCGGGGAGGGAGAGACGGCTCGGACCACGGCCTGTCCGTCTGAAAGGGGAACCTCATTTCAAGATGACCAGTGTTCGTTGCCAAAATCTTGCCCCGTGGCATGATGGTTAAATGTGTGCACGGAGCTTTCGTACTGCAAGGGTGCACTGTGTCAGGATTCCAGCGATCGCCCTAATTAACTCATGAGCCTCGAGCCAAACTTCAAAAAAAATACAGAGGATTCATTAGGAGCGACATGCTGGCATGACCTGTAGGAAGCCAACTCTGGCATACATAGTTACAGTCACCTGTGACCCTGTGCTTCCCCCCCCCTCCCCTCCCCCGGGTGTGCCCTAAATCAATTTCTCCAATTAAGCACAGACACGGGCTAAGGTCATCCATCGCGTCCTCCAATTCAAGTTTTTCACGGGCAAAAGCTTCAGTAGCTTAGCTAGAATATTTTTAAAGATAAAGTTAGAACGTCCTTCTAAGTTCATTTGCTGTACGCTTCTCCAGTCCTTCCCTCCTCCTCCCCTCCTCTTTCTTATGGCAACTTGGAAGCAAGTGTAGGGATGTTTTACAAGTTGACACGCTGCCCGTCACACTGGAGTTGTTTTTAAGAAGAGGCCGGACCGCCATTTGAGCGGAATGGGGTTCAAACTGGGGGGTTGGGCTAGATAGAAGACCTCCAAGAAGGTCCCTTCCAACGCTCTGATTCTACAACCCCAGATCAGGGAACGTCTGGCTTGCCTGCAGAAGTTGTGGGCGCTCCATCACTGGAGGTCTTCAAGAAGGCACTGGGCAGCCATTGGTCCAGAATGGTCTAGGGCCGTGATGGGGAACCTGTGCCGTGTGCCACAGGGGGCACGCAGAGCCATTTGTATGGGCACGTGGGCCCCAGCCAAACTCACCTGCACTGCACATGCATGCGCGTCTCCCAGCTGATATTCAGCCTTCTTTGAGGCTTTTTTCGGCCTCCCGGAGGCTTGAGGGGAGCCTCTGGGAGGCCGAAAAAGGCCTCAAATGGCCCCAAAATCAGCTGGGAGGCGCATGCGTGCGCAGTGCAGGTAAAGGGGCGGTGGGAGAATTATGTGCAGGGGGCATGGGGGGGGCCCCACGCGCATTGCCTTCTGGGTTCTGGCATGTGAGCGCACACACAGTGTTCGGCATAGGAGCCCCAAAAGGTTAGTCACCCCTGGTGTAGGATCTCCTGCTTGATCAGGGGGTTGGACTAGAAGACCTCAACGATGTTGAAAGAAAGCAGCATTCATCGGCGGAAATGTCCCCAAACCAACCCAAACCCTCCCATTTCCCACTGGATCATCCCTCCTCTTGGGGAAAATTCAGATATATATATATGCACCTCCACCCGATACGCAGCAGGGGAACGGCATTTGCTCCTGCTGGTGGGGTCTTGCGGGAGGATGTCCCAACTAGGTCAAACAGAGGCTGATAAACGTGGTTTACAGTTCTGGGTGCTTTGAAATTCTTGCTCTTGAAAATCAGCGGAGTGTGAAGTTTCTCCATCTACCCGAGGAGAGAAAAACGATTGATTCAGGGGCTGTTCCAAACCTTGCTTGGTCACTCAGCGTCCAGAATCTGTTTCCAAAAGAGACCCGGGCATTTTAAGGAGCAAAATTAGTGTCTTCAGCAGCTGCAAGCCAACCATTTATCCTCTTCAGAGTTCCTAATTCTCCCTCCCACATCATAATTTGGGCCCCAGGTTATCTCAGCTTGTTGAGGGAGGTTCGCACCACATGCTTTGCATCTGTAGATATAAACTGGCCTGTGAGGGGGTTTTTGTAGCAGGGGTTTAAGGATGCAAAGGTGTTTAGCAGAAGATCAGGGGGTCACCGGAAGCAGGAAGTCCTACCAGTGAGATAAGTTGGTCCTTGAAATAACTTGGTTAGATCACCAGAGAGTCAACAGAACATGAAGTCCTATTGGTGAAATAAGTTGGTCAGATCACCATAGATTAAATGAAATATGAAGTCCTACAAGTGAAATAAGTTGGTTAAATCACCATAGAGTCAACGGAACAGGAAGTCCTACCAGT